AAGGGAGGAGGGAGGAGGGTACGGGTATATGCATACACAAAGAGTGCAATGCACACCACCCGAAGGATGGACATATTTGTAACTCGGACTTAGCGGGGAGAGGGGGCAAGGGCAACATACATAACCTAAACATCTGTACCCTCATAATATGTGGAAATAAAAAAAAATTGTAAATAAACAGTACCATCCCGTTAAAGGTTAAATACTTCTAGATAAACTAGTTTTTTGTGTTTTTTTGTTTGTTTGGTTGGTTTTTTTTTTTTTTGAGATGGAGTCTCACTCTGTTGCCCAGGTTAGAGTGCCGTGGCGTCAGCCTAGCTCACAGCCACCTCAAACTCCTGGGCTCAAACAATCCTTCTGCCTCAGCCTCCCAAGTAGCTGGGACTACAGGCATGCGCCACCATGCCCAGTATTTTTTTGTATATATTTTTAGTTGCCCAGGTAATTTCTATTTTTGGTAGAGACAGGGTCTCGCTCTTGCTCAAGCTGGTCATGAACTCCTGAGCTCAAACAATCCACCTGCCTTGGCCTCCCAGAGGGCTAGGATTACAGGCGTGAGCCACCACGCCCAGCCTATATAAACTACTTCTTGTGCACCTCTCTGTCCTTGTCGATGTCGTTCTTTGTGTTTGGGGTTTTATTTTTATTTTTAATTTTTTTTAGAGACAGGGTCTTCAAACGACTTCTTATAAAATCAAGGCCATACAGTCTTATATTTTGCTTCTTTCACTCATCACCCAGGCTTGAGTGCAGTGGCCTGATCATAGGTCACTGTAACCTCAAATTCCTGGTCTCAAGTGATCCTCCTGCCTCAGCCTCCCAAAGTGCTGGGATTATATTCGTGAGCCACCATGCCAGCCTGAATGAAGTTTTAAAGTTGGGATCATAATCTTTCTGCATGTTTTATCTGCTATCACCATTCTTTGTTTTCCTCCTTCTAAGTGTTCCATTGACCTCAAGAAAAATGTACTCGTGATCGGCACTACAGGCTCACAGACCACCTTCCTTCCTGAGGGAGAGCTACCAGAATGTGCCCGGTTGGCATACGGTGCTGGGGCCAATCGAGAGGATGTGCGGCCAGAGGAGATTGCAGACCAAGAATTAGCTGAAGCCCTTCAAAAATCGGTAGAGGATGCAGGTATTTGCAACGGCCTACCTCTTAAATAATACTTGATTGGTGGGTGAGCGGGGACATGCAAGCTTCAGGGGGATAGTGACCTTTCCAGTTTGTAATCAGTCTCATCGTCCTGTAGTAGTAGATGTATTCATTGTTTGTCTTCTTACTTCCTCCTTCCCATCTCTTAATACAGTAAAGAAAAACTCCATGTTAAAACAGATCAAGAAACAAAAGTCCATTGTTATGTGTAAGATAGATTGGGGCATTATTTGCCTAGACTTTTTTTTGTTTTGTTTTGTAGAGATAGGGTCTTGCTCTTGCTCAGGCTGGTCTCGAACTCCTGAGCTCAAGCAATCCTCCCGCCTTGGCCTCCCAGAGTGCTAAGATTACTGGCGTGAGCCACCACACCCGGCCTGCCTAGACATATTTTGGTAACTTCCTGAAATATCTTGTGCTTTTCTTTCCCTAAAGAAAGTTATAACAGGACAGCTAAAAATATGTATATAGAAAAAATTAGCCGGGCATGGTGGCACATGCCTGTAGTCCCAGCTACTCGGGAGGCTGAGGCGGGAGGATCGCTTGAGCCCAGGAATCTGAGGTTGCTATGAGCTAGGCTAACACCACGGCACTCTAGCCCGGGCAACACAGTGAGACTCTGTCTCAAAAAAAAAAAAAAGAAAAGAAAAAGAAAGTTATAACAGTATAGCAGACACTAACTTTTGAGGTCAGTAATATGTCCCTGAAAATTTCTTTTCTTAGGCCTGTTTATTTTGAAGGATAGCATTGCTACTGTAACTAAGCAGCCCCAGCTTTAAAAATATTTACTGAAATTGCTGCCACCAAAGACAGAACCAACAATAAGAAGCATAATTGAACATTAATCAAAATGTAGTGTTTTATGCTCTTAAACTGAGATCATAGGAGTGTCATCAGGCCATATTAGGACAGTATGTACCCAGGCAATGGTGCCTCACACCTGGGATGTATTTTCTAGAAGCTGAAAAGAATTAACTTTTAAGGGCTGGGCGCAGTGGCTCACACCTGTAATCTTAGCACTCTGGGAGGCCATGGTGGGAGGATCTCTTGAGGTGTCAGGGGTTTGAGACCAGTCTGAGCAAGAGTAAGACCCCGTCTCCATTAAAAATAGAAAAAAACTAGCTAGGCATGGTGGTGTGCACCTGTTGTTCCAACTACTTGGGAGGCTAAGGCAGAAGGATCACTTGAGCCCAGGAGTTTGAGGTTGCTGTGAGCTAGGCTGATGCCACGGCACTCTAGCCGAGTCAATAGAGTGGGACTCTGTCTCAAAAAAAAAAAAAAAAAAAAATGAATTAAGTCTTAAGTTTGGGTTATTTTAAAATCTTGAGCTTGAACTATTCATCAGAATGACTGATATCACACATTGCTTTTTCTGGTACATTAAAATGTTTAAGGGCCGGGTGCGGTGTCTCACGCCTGTAATCCTAGCACTCTGGGAGGCCGAGGCGGGCGGATTGTTTGAGCTCAGAAGTTCTAAACCAGCCTGAGCAAGAGCAAGACCCTGTCTCTACCAAAAATAGAAAGAAATTAATTGGACAACTAAAAATATATAGAAAAAATTAGCCGGGCATGGTGGCGCATGCCTGTAGTCCTAGCTACTCGGGAGGCTGAGGCAGAAGGATCACTTGAGCCCAGGAGTGTGAGGTTGCTGTGAGCTAGGCTGACGCCACAGCACTCACTCTAGCCCGGGCAAAAGAGTGAGACTCTGTCTCAAAAAAAAAAAAAAAAATGTTTAAGAGTTATGGGTTTAGGGAATAGCTTTCTTCTAAAGACAAAAGAGGTATGAACTTTAAAAATAAGCCAGATTTTGCCACTGTTTTACTGGAGAACATTCAGATGCCCATCCTTGAGCTTCTTTAAAATGGGCCTGGGTAACAGATGGAGTTTTCCAAACTGGCCTTGTTTAGAATGTACTCCAGTATCTTTGGGCTCAGTTTTACACCCAAAGTGTAGTTTTGGTGGCAACTTAAGTATTTTGTAGGAAGGGGAGAATTTTGAACAATCAGACAGGGAGAGACTAACTTTAATAGTTTTAATCTTCTCAGCAAAGTAAGCTTGAATGAGTTTGATACACCCACTTACAACATTTTGCATTTTTGGGGGTAATTTGTCATCTTAGTTATAATACAGTGTGTTGATATTATTACCATTTCATGAAATTCCTTTTTTTTTTTTTAACCTCTACAGTTTTGCTGGTATTATTTAAGAAATGTTAGCCGATGATAGCAGTGTTCTCTAATCTACTAATAACAATTACCCTCTTTCTGTAATTACCTTATTTCAATAAAAAGTTTAGGGGATTAAAACAGATACACCGATGTGTTCAGGCTCAGTGAAGGGGCTATACCAATTTCAAAAGATTAGAAGGAAATGGCTTTTTACCCATGTAACCTTCTGTTGCTGATGTATATGGTTTATGATAGTTTTTGGAATGTTTAAATAGTTAAATAATTTTACAACATCAGTTCCTGTTTGTTCAGAACATTGACTTTTCTGGTATCATCAAAATCAAAACTCCAGACATAGTAGATGAAAGTATTTTGTTTCAAGCTGCTTTTTTGGTAGATACTTTACACCAAAGTATCTTTGTCTTTTCTATTAATTGAAAAATAATTCAGAGTAGGAGCTATATCTGATATGTTATCTAAAAACTGAGTAAAAGGCAAAGGTCAGGATAGAATTTAATCAGTTCTGGTTTGTTTTCTTCTAAAAATTAATCTCAACTGAGAAAGAAATTTGGAAAGTGACTGTTATATGTGTTGACTCACCATTCCTCCATAAGAAGAATTTTTTTATCATGTATTAATAATTCCATCTAATAGATTTACTTTTTTCACCTGTCTCACGTTTGCCCATGAATCCTCCGTGTATGTGTAAAATTAATTTTTTTCCAAGTTGTATTAAAAATCTGTTGAAATTGATACATTGCTTTGTGTATTGTGAGAGAATTAAAGCAATCAGCAAATCTTTTGGATGTCCAAACTACAGAAACAATCCCCAACTTTCACTCTACAGTTCCCGATTTTAAAGATGGCGAGGAATGGAGACTATAACCCTGCATGCTGTGTGGTTTGCATTGTTAACCCAAGTTTGCTTGTCTGTTTCCTAATTCAAACAGAGCGTCAGAAGCCATGATGCATGTAGTGTGTGTGTACTGCAGCTGGAGTGGGCCCCAGACCAGGTATTTATAGACACCACGTTAAGCCTTCCATCCAGTTGTCATCTATGGTCTGAAAGTCTCTGTATCTGTAGCAGTTTTAGCAGTTAGCTTCTGTCATTCACCATTTCATCTTGTTTAATCTGGTTACAACTAGCCTGTATATACATTTATATGTTGGCATGCATACATACATATGTAAGTATAAATTCCTGTTTAAAATTTTATCAACTATCAGAACATGCAAGGGTGAAAAAAATCCCAGTAGAAACAGCATCCATTATATCTACCACATCTGACTATTATGAATGTCAAATCAAGAATATTGGTCTCACAGCATTTTGTCATTGGAGATAACTGTACTTTTTGAATTTCATAAGTTCCTTTCCTCTGAAAAACTGAGAGCTCTTTTTTCACATTATTGCACATAACTACCTGGAATTACAGAGGGGCAGAAATTTTAATTCTATTGAAGAAATAGAATCTTAGCCCAGGGGACTTGTCGACAGTCACAGAGTCAGTAATATAGGCAGAACTTATATTTTATTCTCTCAGCAACAGGATGTAAGACTTCACTTTTCCCTCCGTCCCTGGCCTGACAGATTTTCCATAGAAGGCACTCTCCTTCCATTTCCCTGTGGTGTAAATTTGGTAAATGTCGACCTGAGTGTATCAGCTGATTTACCAAGAGGAAGAAAGGTGGTCTTTCAAACTGTCAACCTAGGACTTGATAGCAGTTTGCAGGCTTGTTGTAATTAGATACGTAGCATTTAATTTCTTTTTTCTCTTTCTTTTTTTTCCCTTCCCTTCTAAGGATGGGTTAAAAGCAGGCATAAGGATGGGTTAAAAGCAGGCATAGTTTAATCTTAACATCCATTATCCTCATCTCCTTCTCTTATCATTCTGTAAATTGACCCAGTCCTTCCCTACATTTAGAACTTAAGCCAGTGAAACTGACCTCAAGAGGATTATATGCTACTTTCGTAGTGAGTACAAAATCCATTGAGGCCATGTGCACCTTGACCTCACCTGGTTGTTCATAACTGGCGTATCAGTGCCAGAAGGCTGTTATACCTCTCTGTTAGTAACATGGATATTTCACTACACAGTATTTTTTCTGTTAGCATTAGTTCAGAATTGAATCTCTTCCAGAGTCAGCATTAAGAGATTGATAAGTAAAACTAATAACTGTTTCTAGACTCTAATGCATATAGCTTAAACTAAGAAAAATGCTGTTTTCCTGTGTACCCCTAAACTTTAAGTAAGGTAAGATTGTTTCATAAAAAGTCAATAACTTCCTGACTCAGTGCTTTGTCTTCTCATGCTGTTAACCAGTGTTTGATTAGAATGATTTAAAGCCATTTGAATATAAGTTCATTGCTTCATAATTTAAGTCAGGATCAAGCCCCTCTCCACATTGCATGTTAAAATTTAGCACAAAGTGTTTGAGTTGCATCTGCCCTAATAGTTTGTATTGTGAGGTCAATTTTGTTACCAGTCTTTTGACTTTTAATTAAAGATCTTAAAATAAGTGCATAGAGGTCAATTTTTAACTGTATCAGTGGCAAAAGGAGAGTTGGAGCTGATGGATTTTTCCCTTTTCCTTTAAATCTGAACTTAACATTGTTAGGAACTGATGTTTAATGATATCATTATGATGTTTAAGCTAGTATTTAAGCCTGTCATCTTGTTCGAGTGGTCATTAAGTTGCAATGAATCTAAATAGTCATTGCCCGTTGAAAAACCGTTAATGAATTATCCTCTTCCACTGCCCCACTCACATTCCTCTTCCCTTAAAACACTTGAATGTTCTTCATGTAGTAATACTCTATTAATGTGATAAAAATAACTAATAATCCTTTTAAAGTTGCATTATTTTGGTTGGGTGTTGACTGGGATTTAATCCATTTGATCATTAGCTTTACTTTTATTCTCTGAGTCAGATGTTCACATAGTTTTACTGTGATTTGGGGGGAGCGTGGCTAGAAATAATATCGAATGTTTTCTTCTCTGTCTTCTAGCAGTCCCCAAGCATTACATAAATTCTTATTTCTCAGCCAGGCACAGTGGCTCATGTCTGTAATTCCACTACTTTGGGAGGCTGAGGTGGAAGGATCCCTTGAGGCCAAGAGTTTGAGACCAGCCTGGGCAACTTATTGAGACGTTGTCTCTACAAAAAATGAGAAAAATTAGCCAGGCTTGGTGGTGGGTACCTGTAGTCCCAGCTACTTGGGAGGCTGAGGCAGGAGGAACCCTTGAGCCTAGGAATTCGAGGTCGCAATGAGTGGTGATGATGCCACTGCACTCCAGCCTGGATGACAGAGCGAGACACTGTCTCTAAAAAAATTTCTTATTTCTCTGTATAATTCCTGCTCTGTCCCAGTGTATCTGGTTTAGACTTCTCATTTATAACCTCAGCGTTCATATTTGAATAGGAGAAGTGCTTTGGCATGAGAATCATTCTACTGTAAAGTTTCTCAAGATCTATAATGTCCTTAAGTATCAACTGAGGAGCTTACTGAAAATGCAGATTCCAGGCTTTATTCTCAAGGATTTTACCTCAGAGTCTGCATCCTTAATAAGCATCCCAGCTGATTCTAGGGAAAGTGGTGAAGAAAATACGCTTGGAGAAACTATTCTAGAGTTCTAGACTCACTGGGAATAAAGGTACATAAATGTCTTTCAGCCTTGAGCACTAACTCAGCCATTATGTGAATGCATGTTAATGGTACTCAGTCATATTGAATTACATATGCATGTTTTATTAAGAACATGCCTACCTCTTATTCTGATGCTGTGATGTTAAATTGTCTACCACAGTGAAAAAGATTCTTGTATTTTTAAAATCATATCTATTAGTGTAAGAGAAACCCAAGTTTAAGGACTGATTTTATTCTGTGCTATTTTGATTTGTATCCTTTGATAATTTAATAGTTTTAGTTACTTGCTAATGAATCTTCTTCCTTTCTCTTTTGTTCCATATAGAGAAAAGCGGTAAAGAATCTACCTCACTGGGAATGTCATCAGTACCAACTTCAGATGGATTTAATCATCCAGCCCATCCTTCAGGACAGAGTACCGAGATTGGTAATCCTACGAGTCTTGCTCGCTCTGTCTCTGCTTCAGTCTGCCCTATCAAACCCAGTGACCCAGAAAGCATTGAACCTAAAGCTGTGAAGGCTCTGAAGGCTTCAGCTGAATTCCAGATAAATTCCAAAAAGAAAGAACATCTTCCTCTGCAGGATCACACTGATCATGCTTCTTCAGTGGACCATGCCCCAGCAGACCAGAGTTCAGCTACGCCTTTGCAGAGTTCGCCCGAAGAAGCATTTGTTGCAGATGATCTCGAGAAATCTGCTGGAAAAAGCACCCAGGGCCTCAAATTTCATCTCCATACAAGACAGGAAACTAATTTATCTGTCACAACTACTAGGATGCATGAACCACAGATGTTTCTAGACGAAAAAGGTTGGCATCCAGAAAATCAGAACCTGACTCAAGTGAATGGCCTTCAGCAGCATGAAGAACCAGGGAATGAACAATATGAGGTTGTACAACAGAATGCTCCTTGTGACCAAGAACATCTTTGTGACATAGGGGACCTTGAACTTCCTGGAGAAAGGCAACAGAACCAACAAAAAATTGTTGATTTGGAACCTACAATGAAAGGAGATAGGCTACAGCAGAATGTGGATCTTCCAAGTACAAAGAAAAGTATTCTACCTTCAGGATGCTTTGGCTGCTCAAATTCAGAAACACTTATGGAAATAGATGTTGTTGAACAGTCCCTAGTTGCTGTGCTTAATTCTGCAGGCAGTCAGAATGCCGATGTCAAGAACATCAGTGTGTCGGATCTCTCTTTAGATAATCCTTTGATGGAAATAGAAACATCAAAATGTAACCCTTCACCTGAAATTTTGGATTCCATTTCCACTCAAGATTCACAGCCCCCAGAAAGTAACATTGAAAGGTCCGGAACAAATAAAGAATATGGCGATTACTCCCCGTCTCTGAGTGTCTGTAGCAATTGTCAGCCCTCTGTGGAGTCAACAGAAGAATCTTGTTCATCTATAACAGTAGCCTTGAAAGAACTTCATGAACTTTTGGTTATTAGTAGTAAACCAGCTTCCGAAAATCCATCTGAAGAAGTTATCTGTCGATCAGAAGCAGTAGCAGATGGCCAAACTGGTATTAAGGGCCTTTCTGAAAAATGTACCCAAAACGAGCATCTTACCCAGGATGAACAGTGTCCACAAGTCTCCTTTCATCAGGCCATATCTGTGTCAGTGAAGGCAGAGAGATTAACAGGCACTTCACCTGGCACTGGAATAGAAGATGTAGAAAATATAAACTCCGGGGGTCCAGGTGATGGCCTGTCAATTGATAAGGAAGGTGTCCCCAAATCTAGGGAATCAAATGAGAACAGTTCTGTCACTGTAACCTCAGCTAAAACGTCTAATCAATTACACTGCACCTTAGGTGTAGAAATTTCACCCAAACTTTTAGCAGGTGAGGAGGATACACTCAGTCAGACTTCTGAGCAAACTAAGTCTTTGTCATCCAGTTTCATATTGGTTAAAGACTTGGGTCAGGGCATACAAAATCCAGTAACAGACAGACCTGAAACCGGAGAAAATGTCTGTCCTGAAGCTGCGAGGCCATTTCTTGAATGTGTACCACCTACCAGCCATCCATCATCAAGTCCCTCCATTCTTCCACCATTAATTTTTCCTGCCACAGATATTGACCGGATTGTCCGTGCTGGCTTTACTTTGCAGGAAGCTCTTGGGGCTTTGCATCAAGTTGGTGGAAACGCAGACCTTGCACTTCTTGTTTTGTTAGCAAAGAACATCGTAGTTCCTACGTAACTATGGGAAAGTGGGCTAGACCATACTCCATTCCCTTAAAAAAAAAAAGAAAAAGAAAAAAGCTCTCTCTATATACACACGTACACACTCACCACATATACAGTATATGTAGAAACCTGCAAGCAGAATGTTGAGCCAGATTTTTTTTAAGAGATTTTTTTCGGCCAAAGTAATTTATGATCTATTGTCTGATGAATTTGTCTATTCTCTTTGTTAAAATTTGGGCCTTTTTAAATGTATTGGCAATATGTGCATACAAAGCTTTTTATTCTCATTACGATGATGTATTCTGGAATAAAATGGATGGTTTTGTGTATAGCATACCATTTTAGAATGAGAGTGAATGCTTTGGAAAGCAGAAGCCATGAGAAAAATCCCACCACCTATGCAGCTAAAAATAGATCAACTCCGCACTGTAACTGTGTGTCCGTGCAGTCAGCAAGGTATGGCTTGTTGACTCAGTTGTCAATTTAGAAACTTTTGACCACATAGTTTGGTGTTTGGAATTATACCCAGTGCTCTGTGTATTATGATTCATCAATTACAACAGGAAATTGAAGAATAATTGAATAATATCTCCTAGAGTGGTATGTTTTTATTTGTGTGCTTAGGATTTGACGTTTTAATAGGGTGAGTGGGAGGGTTTAAAACTTGAGCTACTTTGTGCATTACAGGTTTCTGCGTGGATTGCCAAATATATTTATTACATTGGGTGGGACATTGTGGGGGAATTAGCATTAGAGTGAAATATGGTGCTACCCAGATTAAAGAAGAAAAACAAAAACCAACCATAATTCCATTTGCAGATGTCAAGAACTGTGAGAGAAAAACAATGACCTAAACACTGGAATTTACTAGAGACTGGGTTTGCTAGCATCTCACTGATAACACCTCAACCCTTAATGACTAATTATGAACTCCAGTTCAGCTAATGGGTTGATTGCCAGCAGTTTATTTCCTTTCAAAACTTATCTTCTACTAGGAAATTCTTCAAAAGCTCAGTTTGAGCTGTGATCTGAGTGAAATACTCTGAAGTATGATAACCTTGTCACTGGTTCATCTTGGTGCTTGGAATGGTCAGTCTATTTGGTGAGTGTCCTTCATAGCAGTGGAAATAGTAATTGCAGTTTCTGACTAAGTGGCCTTGGTAGAGTTTTCCATCCCTTTCTTTTCTCAGGAGTTTCTTTTTGAAGCAAGACTCATCGTATTTGTGTTTACCATGTCGAGTCAGAGTGGGGCATAATATATAGATGTATTTATTGTGGCCTTTTTTTTTTATATAAGGACTAGCCCTTGGAAATCATTGTCCTGTGGGCCCCACTGTGCAATAATCTTACTGGATAGGTTTTTACGTAATTCTTTCCTGGAATATAAATAAACTGTTAGGTACCTAGCAGGAATCTGAAATCTTGGTTTTACTGAAAAAAACTTTGAGAATGATAATTTCTTATTCCAGGTTATAGTTTGTAACATGTTTGAAACAAATTTTGAAAGAGTGATTTCTCAACTTAGTGTTAAATGATTTTGTCTTAAGTCTGACTCTTTGAAAGCTTGTTCTTTCTATTAAATTTCAAGTCATTGAGCACAATCAAAATGGAAGCTCATATCTCAGGAGTTCTTGAAATTTTAATTTAGAGATATTTCTCTTCTACCCTATCCCAGCCTCTTTCTTTTTGCTATGATGTTTGTCTGTGTTCTGTAAGACTTTAGTGTTGTGGTGGCAAGCCATGGACTCATCATGATCCTTTAAGAAGTTAGGAAGTGGTTGAGGTTGACGGAAGGAGTTTAGTTTACTGCTTTCCAGAGGGCACTCAGAACAGCAGGTTAACCAGGTTGTCTTTAAGATGTTCTTTTAGACAATCACTTCTTATAGACACTTTTGCCTGCCCTACACCAAAGATGTAAGATGCACTAGGAGACTGCTTATAGGATTCTGTCAACTGACTCTTAGAGCTGTGATTGTAATTAAGTAGTTGGTACTATGATTGAAGCAAAATCTAGTAGCAATGCAATGGGGCCCTGTATCTGCTTTATGAGTGGTGGTTTGGAATGTATTCTAAGCTTATAAATCTTTGGAACCCTGGGGTTGGGTGGGTGGGGGTGGGGCAACTTATTAATGACAATAGACTCCTCCCAAAAGGTCGTCTGTGTAAAGATGGGCCTTGCAGTTTTCTGTGTGAGCAGAACATACTTTGGCATGCTGTTCTGCAGCATGGCCACTGAACTTTTACGATGTGGAGATTTGGGAAACAGTCCCAGGTGGAATATATAATATCAGTCTGGAAAAGATTTCATTGCAATAGCTTTTGATGTATGTATATTTATTTTTAGGAGAAAGTTGAATAGATCTGTAGTTGTACATGTATTCTTGTTAGGAATACTTTGAATGAGCTTAGCCCACTTGCCAAATATTCATATCCCTGTCCATTTTTGTCTTTTTTTCTTTTTAATTTTTAAAGATGGGTTCTCATTCTCGCTGTGTTGCCCAGGCTGAACTCAAACTCCTGGCCTCACAGTATGCTACCATACCCAGCTCCCACCATTACTATTTTTTTCATAATTGCTTTTGATTTTTAAAATCTTGTCCATTTGTATGAAAATAAAATTGTTAATGCCGTTAGGATTTTGGGTAACTTTTAAATTTAGCAATCCTAGAATGCGAAGGGTGTTAAGGAATATTACACTAGTAAACCTTCATTGTCAGTTTTTCAATATTTAACACCTTAAAAGCTCCAGAAGTGCAGAAATTACAGGTTAACTTGTAAAAATAAGATCAAATCATTGTTAACTCCTGTGGTTGCCAATGGAACTGATAACAGCCAGCCATAACCAGTAATGGGCAGCTTTACTGGACAGCTCCTTTACCATGACCAGGTAGTGTGCAGTTCTGTGGTCAGCACTTCCCTCCAGGGGTGGTCTCTGTTTATTCACCAAGGAGATTTTCCTGTAGAACTTGTGCCATTTTCCATTAAGTTGGTTCCTATGCAGAAGGATGTGCTTGGTTAACCAGACAGCAGCTATACCTAGGCTATAGATTTTGCTCATTGACACTGTTAAGGACTATTTCCAGGCAGCCAACAGCCTTCATTCCAGTTTGGGCTTTAGCTATTAACACGTAAAGATAACCAGTTGCTTGGCAAAGGAAGCTGGGTAGATGGTGAGTGCGTGTGTTAAAACTGTCCTGCCTTGCAGTTCACAGCACTTTCTAGAGCTCCTTGTCTCCTGATGTACTGAAGGAGACACCCCCATGTTTTTTTCCCCAAAGCATTTCTCTAGCAAAAGGGTGCATAGAAATGGAATATGAGGCTTTATGTCACTGATTTTATGATAACCAGTGGAACCTGCCTGTTCTTCCCTTACCACAGCTTTCTATGTCCAGTGAAAGCCATAAAAATTTAGTTTAACTTTGTAGCTTGTGTCTATGTATACATGTATAAGCTATCATATACATATGGTGATTGACAAATATCTTACAGTTAATTTTATATAGATTAAAAACCGAGCAATTTTTGTATCTGTAGACATAATTCACTTACGGTGGCTTTTATCCCACCATGTATATAGCAAACAGCCATGCGAATCACTGGCCAGAAAAGTTGTGGCGCATTCCGATTGCCTTTTCCTACCTGTTTACCAGCTGTGGTGAGGGTGAGCAGGGTAATTGAACTACACATTTCAGATTTGCTATCCCTGGCTATGCATCCTAAGAGAAGCTGACCAGATTATGCATTCTGCTGTTTACTAGCACAAATAATCACCAAAAAGCCAAATTTCTGTTTTGAATTTGGTGAGTTAGTGTAGTCTATGGTTGAACTAGAAAGACAAAGTTATCAAGAGCTTCCCTTCCTGGAGGACGAATGTTACCTTTCATGTTAGGGGTTCTATAAAATAAAATTGCTTTTTCTTCCTGAGAATTAATGCCAATTCCTGATAACAATGTATAATAAATTCAAAGTCCTTGGGAGGGAACTGGAAATGTAAAATCATGGTTCAATTTTTCTACTTTAGTGGTCCCTCAATAGGTTTTACCAGGGGTTCATTGAATAAACTAAAGAATTTAGGAGTGAACCTTTGATGTACTTGATTTTCTTTTGTGCCTTAGTTTCTCTGAATAGCAGAGGCATCAAATTTTGGTGGGGAGTGAAAATGGGAGTGTTACGGGAAAGGTTTGAAGATAGTCCTCCTGTAAATGGAGGGCCTACTTAAAGTGGTCCTAAGGCTTACCTTTTTTGAGTTGATTCAGAGTTGCTCACATCAAATCACTAGATTTCCCCAGACAGAAGGATTAAAATACGCATTTTTGAGCCTGAGCAACATAGCAAGACCCTGTCCCTATAAAAAATTTTTAAAAACTAGCTGGGCATGTGGTGTGTGCCTGTAGTCCCAGCCACTTGAGAGACGGAGCCAGGAGAATCGCTTGAGCCAAGGAGTTTGAGGCTACAGTGAGCAATGATGATGCCACTGCACTCTAGCCCAGGCGACAGAGGGAGACTGTCTTCTAAAAAAAAAAAAAAAAAGGATATTTTTGCATCACATGTACCAAAAACTGTTTTTAGCTGTTATGTTCTTTGTTGTACTATCGGTGTGTTGGTTAAGGGAGAGAAAAAGTTCAAGAAAATCTTATATATTTGAAAGGAAATTGGTACTTTCTTGAAGGCTATGCAATATGCGTCTTTGAACAAGAATTCTTAGTACTTTTGACTCATTCATCAAACAGTGAGTGCTTGTGTGCCAGGCACTGGTGAACTCTGGGGATCCAGGGATGACTAAAGCACACTGGAACCCTGCCCTTACGAAGCTTTCAGTCTAGTGGGGAGACATGAAACATTTTAGCTTCAAAAGCAAGATCAGTTTTTGCTTATTAGCGTGCTTTTATTTAGAAAGTCATTAGAGTTACTTGGTTTCATTTCAGAGCAGACTGGGAAAATCAGGCTCACAATGGAATGAGATGCTATGAACTTGAAACGTCTCTTAAAAACTCTTTTTAAAAAAGGAATCAGAGAAACCAACAAAAAATGTAACATTTGGTAGATCAGGTATTGAGAAATCATAATGCTGGGGGAGGAGGAAATGGGCAGGATAGAAGGGCAACAGGTAAATGGAAGATGACCGTAAAATGTACCAGTGACAGCCTTTCCTTCCGTCAGGACCCCCTTGCATGCAGGGTAGAGAGAGGGAGTGTGCTGCAGCCTTTTCCCCGCACCTCCTTTGTGAGCACGGCTGCTTAGGACTGGCCATCTGGGCTAACGGGACTTCAGCAGAGGGTTCTGTAGGATGTGCTATTTTAAAGCAGCTGAGTGCAGCATGTGAAAATG